CCACTTCACTGTGACACACCGGACACACTCCTCATGTGTCCGGTGTGTCACAGTGAAGTGGGTCAGGAAACATCCTGACCCACTTCACTGTGACACACCGGACACATCAAACTCTTCATGTTATTATAGAGGACTCTCATTCAATTAAACCTGAAATAAAGTGTGTTTTTATTATTTTCTTACTAAATAAAAAGGAGAAAAAACAATAAAAACAAATTGAATTAATTCAGAATAAAGATAGAAAGCTCCTGGACTTCATATATTTAGAAATAAAAACTATGTTTTTTTTAAATAATTAAAATAGCAGAGAATTCCACATAAATGCCAGCATGGATATCAGTGTTGGATAATGGGGAAAATAGTAATAAATACAAATAAAATATGAAACACTGAAATAATATCTTTGGAGCATAGTACGGATTGTATTTTTATATATTTTCTAACGTTTCAATTTTTAGTATATATGTAGTTAAATATAAGCACATGTATTGGCATAATTCAGCCTGGTTTTATGTTTATTTCTACTATTATTGATTATTTTTTCATTCAATTAAATGTATTATTTATATATTTAATGTATTAATTGAAGTTATGCTGCAGGACATATGAGAAAGGTGTTAATTATTACAATCTGCGATAAATAAATACATAATAAAGTGTACTTAAATGTGTTCAAATGACACAAAATAAATACAAAATTGGAGATTAACCTGAACTCAGAAGGCACCAAAAACAAACGATAATAATATATATTTGTTCAGGTATTTTAAAGTAGAAAACAGCAATAGAAATGACACTGGATGCAGTTCATCACACTTTGCGATGACGATAAGAGAACGATATGTTCTGAGCAGCACCATGATGATGATAGGTCGATAAGAGAACGATATGTTCTGAGCAGCACCATGATGATGATAGGTCGATAAGAGAACGATATGTTCTGAGCAGCACCATGATGATGATAGGTCGATAAGAGAACTGATAATAATGTATAAAAGCCGGCGTACCTGTGAGTTCCTCAGGTGCGTCGCTGCTTGCTCTGAGAGGAGATTACTGACCTGCAGGATTTACTGCTGACCAGCTTAAGCTGATAATCAATGACGGACAGGTGGGGGCGGGGCTTAGAGGTCAGCTAGTGAGTATGGGCGGGGCTTAACAATCTTAAGTAGTGTCTCTACTTTAAAGAGTTGAGGACAGTTTGAGGAAGGTTTGAAGACAGATTGAGGACGGTTGGAGGACAGTTTGAGGACCATCCTCAAAGAGTCATCAAACTGTCCTCAAAGAGTCCTCAAACCGTCCTCAAAGAGTCCTCAAACCGTCCTCAAAGAGTCCTCAAACCGTCCTCAAAGAGTCCCCAAAACTGTCCTCAAAGAGTCCTCAAACTGTCCCCAAAGAGTCCTCAAACCGTCTTCAAACCATCCTCAGACGTCCTCAAACCGCCCTCAAACCGTCTTCAAACCATCCTCAAACCGTCATCAAAGAGTCCCCAAAACTGTCCTCAAACTGTCCCCAAACTGTCCTCAAACTGTCCTCAAACTGTCCTCAAACTATCCCCAAAGAGTCCCCAAAACTGTCCTCAAACTGTCCTCAAACTGTCCCCAAACTGTCCTCAAAGTGTCCTCAAACCGTCCTCAAAGAGTCCTCAAACCATCCTCAAACTGTCCCCAAACTGTCCTCAAACTGTCCCCAAAGTGTCCTCAAAGAGTCCTCAAACCGTCCTCAAACTTTCCTCAAAGAGTCCTCAAACTGTCCCCAAACTATCCTCAAAGAGTCCTCAAAGAGTCCTCAAAGAGTCCTCAAACTGTCCTCAAAGAGTCCTCAAACTGTCCCCAAAGAGTCCTCAAAGAGTCCTCAAACTGTCCCCAAACCATCCTCAAAGAGTCCTCAAAGAGTCCTCAAAGAGTCCTCAAACTGTCCTCAAAGAGTCCTCAAACTGTCCCCAAAGAGTCCTCAAAGAGTCCTCAAACTGTCCCCAAACCATCCTCAAAGAGTCCTCAAACTGTCCTCAACCGTCCCCAAACTATCCTCAAAGAGTCCTCAAACTGTCCTCAAAGAGTCCTCAAACTGTCCTCAAACTGTCCTCAAACTGTCCCCAAACTGTCCTCAAAGAGTCCTCAAACTGTCCCCAAAGAGTCCTCAAAGAGTCCTCAAACTGTCCCCAAACCATCCTCAAACTGTCCTCAAAGAGTCCTCAACCGTCCCCAAACTGTCCTCAAAGAGTCCTCAAAGAGTACTCAAACTGTCCTCAAACCGTCCTCAAACTGTCCTCAAACTGTCCCCAAAGAGTCCTCAAACGTCCTCAAACTGTCCTCAAACCGTCCTCAAACCGTCCTCAAAGAGTCCTCAAACTGTCCTCAAAGAGTCCTCAAACTGTCCTCAAACTGTCCTCAAACTGTCCCCAAAGAGTCCTCAAAGAGTCCTCAAACTGTCCCCAAACCATCCTCAAACTGTCCTCAAAGAGTCCTCAACCGTCCCCAAACTGTCCTCAAAGAGTCCTCAAAGAGTACTCAAACTGTCCTCAAAGAGCCCTCAAACTGTCCCCAAAGAGTCCTCAAAGAGTCCTCAAACTGTCCCCAAACCATCCTCAAACTGTCCTCAAAGAGTCCTCAACCGTCCCCAAACTGTCCTCAAAGAGTCCTCAAAGAGTACTCAAACTGTCCTCAAAGAGCCCTCAAACCGTCCTCAAACTGTCCTCAAACTGTCCTCAAACCGTCCTCAAACTGTCCTCAAACTGTCCCCAAAGAGTCCTCAAACGTCCTCAAACTGTCCTCAAACCGTCCTCAAACCGTCCTCAAAGAGTCCTCAAACTGTCCTCAAACTGTCCTCAAACCGTCCTCAAACTGTCCTCAAACTGTCCCCAAACTGTCCTCAAAGAGTCCTCAAACTGTCCCCAAAGAGTCCTCAAACTGTCCCCAAAGAGTCCTCAAACGTCCTCAAACTGTCCTCAAACCGTCCTCAAACCGTCCTCAAAGAGTCCTCAAACTGTCCTCAAAGAGTCCTCAAACTGTCCCCAAAGAGTCCTCAAACGTCCTCAAACTGTCCTCAAACCGTCCTCAAAGAGTCCTCAAACTGTCCTCAAACTGTCCTCAAACCGTCCTCAAACTGTCCTCAAACTGTCCCCAAACTGTCCTCAAAGAGTCCTCAAACTGTCCCCAAAGAGTCCTCAAAGAGTCCTCAAACTGTCCCCAAACCATCCCCAAACTGTCCTCAAAGAGTCCTCAAAGAGTACTCAAACTGTCCTCAAAGAGCCCTCAAACCGTCCTCAAACTGTCCTCAAACTGTCCTCAAACCGTCCTCAAACTGTCCCCAAAGAGTCCTCAAACGTCCTCAAACTGTCCCCAAAGAGTCCTCAAAGAGTCCTCAAACTGTCCCCAAACCATCCCCAAACTGTCCTCAAACTGTCCTCAAAGAGTCCTCAAACTGTCCTCAAACTGTCCCCAAAGAGTCCTCAAAGAGTCCTCAAACTGTCCCCAAACCATCCTCAAACTGTCCTCAAAGAGTCCTCAACCGTCCCCAAACTGTCCTCAAAGAGTCCTCAAAGAGTACTCAAACTGTCCTCAAAGAGCCCTCAAACCGTCCTCAAACTGTCCTCAAACTGTCCTCAAACCGTCCTCAAACTGTCCTCAAACTGTCCCCAAAGAGTCCTCAAACGTCCTCAAAGAGTCCTCAAACTGTCCTCAAAGAGTCCTCAAAGAGTCCTCAAACTGTCCTCAAACTGTCCTCAAACCGTCCTCAAACTGTCCTCAAACTGTCCCCAAAGAGTCCTCAAACGTCCTCAAAGAGTCCTCAAACTGTCCTCAAAGAGTCCTCAAAGAGTCCTCAAACTGTCCTCAAACTGTCCTCAAACTGTCCCCAAACTGTCCTCAAAGAGTCCCCAAAGAGTCCTCAAAGAGTCCTCAAACTGTCCCCAAACCATCCTCAAACTGTCCTCAAAGAGTCCTCAAACTGTCCTCAACCGTCCCCAAACTGTCCTCAAAGAGTCCTCAAAGAGTACTCAAACTGTCCTCAAAGAGCCCTCAAACCGTCCTCAAACTGTCCTCAAACTGTCCTCAAACCGTCCTCAAACCGTCCTCAAAGAGTCCTCAAACGTCCTCAAACTGTCCTCAAACCGTCCTCAAACTGTCCTCAAAGAGTCCTCAAACTGTCCTCAAACTGTCCCCAAACTGTCCTCAAAGAGTCCCCAAACTGTCCTCAAAGAGTCCTCAAAGAGTCCTCAAACTGTCCTCAAACCGTCCTCAAACTGTCCCCAAAGAGTCCTCAAACCGTCCTCAAACTGTCCTCAAACTGTCCTCAAACTGTCCCCAAACTGTCCTCAAACTGTTCTCAAACCGGCTGCAAGAAAGGTTGAAAATGCAAAGAGTCTGCTGTGAAATCGATGCATCTCAATGGAAAAGCTGGATTTGTATTTGTTTACTTTAACCCGTTTCCTGAAGCCTCGTTAGCCGGGTAAAGATTGGTAATTATCAATCAGGATCAATAAAGTTTTTATCTGAAATAAAACTTTAGGACTTCTCTGACGCCGAGTTTCTGTTTCAGGACGATATTAATATTTAAGTCTCTGAGGAAGAGTTTGAATTCAGTTTGAAATGTTTAATTGATCGTTAAAGGAGCAATCAGTGTTTGATTCCCTCAGCGTCATAATGTGTGATCATTATCCCCCATCAGCGTTTATTACACGATCAGACCTGAGCTGATCAAAGCTTATCAGTTTCATCTGTCTCGTAGGAAAACATTTAAACGACAGATATTTAAAATAAATCTTTATATATGAAAAAAAAAACGTATTAATAGAAATATTAAAATAATTCATAAAATAAATTAGAAAAGTACAATTAGAAGTAGATTTAAAATAAACCAGCGGAGAAATTCACTCTGTGTTTCTGAGAAGAAGCAGGAAGTGAGATTAAATAATAATGAGGGGAACTCCTGTTTACAGACATCACTTTAAAGAGTTCTCTCCTGCTGATGTTCAGGTGTATATCAGTATGTAGTGTCTCTACTTTAAAGAGTCCTCTCCTGCTGATGTTCAGGTGTATATCAGTATGTAGTGTCTCTACTTTAAAGAGTCCTCTCCTGCTGATGTTCAGGTGTATATCAGTATGTAGTGTCTCTACTTTAAAGAGTCCTCTCCTGCTGATGTTCAGGTGTATATCAGTATGTAGTGTCTCTACTTTAAAGAGTCCTCTCCTGCTGATGTTCAGGTGTATATCAGTATGTAGTGTCTCTACTTTAAAGAGTCCTCTCCTGCTGATGTTCAGGTGTATATCAGTATGTAGTGTCTCTACTTTAAAGAGTCCTCTCCTGCTGATGTTCAGGTGTATATCAGTATGTAGTGTCTCTACTTTAAAGAGTCCTCTCCTGCTGATGTTCAGGTGTATATCAGTATGTAGTGTCTCTACTTTAAAGAGTCCTCTCCTGCTGATGTTCAGGTGTATATCAGTATGTAGTGTCTCTACTTTAAAGAGTCCTCTCCTGCTGATGTTCAGGTGTATATCAGCATGTAGTGTCTCTACTTTAAAGAGTCCTCTCCAGCTGATGTTCAGGTGTATATCAGTATGTAGTGTCTCTACTTTAAAGAGTCCTCTCCTGCTGATGTTCAGGTGTATATCAGTATGTAGTGTCTCTACTTTAAAGAGTCCTCTCCTGCTGATGTTCAGGTGTATATCAGTATGTAGTGTCTCTACTTTAAAGAGTCCTCTCCTGCTGATGTTCAGGTGTATATCAGCATGTAGTGTCTCTACTTTAAAGAGTCCTCTCCAGCTGATGTTCAGGTGTATATCAGTATGTAGTGTCTCTACTTTAAAGAGTCCTCTCCTGTATGTAGTGTCTCTACTTTAAAGAGGGTTATTAATCTTTACTCAGAGAGTAACTGGACTCCGGTTTACATCCCATAATAACCCTGTAGCATCACACCTGGCTCTCAGGTAGGGTTACATCACACCGTCGTCACGGTAACAGACAGCGACGACACACACAAACAGGCCGGGGTTTCCCTGGCAACCGTCAGTGACATCATCAACAGCTAACAGGGAAACTCTTTAATGGTTTAATCTAAATAAACATCTATTTATATTATTTGAATATTATATTATTATAATCATTTTTTTTAGCTTGTTGATTTATTTGTATTATTTAAATGTTCAACAATCATTTACCTTTATTACTACAGCATGTTTTTGTGTTTTCCAATGTTCCTTCCTCTTGTTGTCATGGTAACATTAACCCACGGTAGCTTTAATGTGTGGACTTTAATATTTAACATCTGGAAACAGTTTATATGATAAGTTCATGTTTTAGTGAACGTCCTGTTCAGCTGGTTGTTTGAGAGAGGCAGAGAAGCAGAGAGACAGAGAGACAGAGAGGCAGAGAGACAGAGAGACAGAGAGGCAGAGAGGCAGAGAGACAGAGAGACAGAGAGGCAGAGAGGCAGAGAGACAGAGAGACAGAGAGGCAGAGAGGCAGAGAGACAGAGAGGCAGAGAGGCAGAGAGGCAGAGAGACAGAGAGGCAGAGAGACAGAGAGGCAGAGAGACAGAGAGGCAGAGAGGCAGAGAGGCAGAGAGGCAGAGAGGCAGAGAGGCAGAGAGGCAGAGAGGCAGAGAGACAGAGAGGCAGAGAGGCAGAGAGACAGAGAGACAGAGAGACAGAGAGGCAGAGAGACAGAGAGACAGAGAGACAGAGAGGCAGAGAGGCAGAGAGACAGAGAGACAGAGAGGCAGAGAGACAGAGAGACAGAGAGACAGAGAGGCAGAGAGGCAGAGAGACAGAGAGACAGAGAGGCAGAGAGGCAGAGAGACAGAGAGGCAGAGAGACAGAGAGACAGAGAGACAGAGAAGCAGAGAGACAGAGAGACAGAGAGGCAGAGAGACAGAGAGACAGAGAGGCAGAGAGGCAGAGAGACAGAGAGACAGAGAGGCAGAGAGACAGAGAGACAGAGAGGCAGAGAGGCAGAGAGGCAGAGAGACAGAGAGACAGAGAGGCAGAGAGGCAGAGAGGCAGAGAGACAGAGAGGCAGAGAGACAGAGAGACAGAGAGGCAGAGAGACAGAGAGACAGAGAGACAGAGAGGCAGAGAGGCAGAGAGACAGAGAGACAGAGAGGCAGAGAGGCAGAGAGACAGAGAGACAGAGAGGCAGAGAGGCAGAGAGACAGAGAGACAGAGAGGCAGAGAGGCAGAGAGGCAGAGAGACAGAGAGACAGAGAGGCAGAGAGACAGAGAGGCAGAGAGACAGAGAGACAGAGAGGCAGAGAGGCAGAGAGGCAGAGAGGCAGAGAGGCAGAGAGACAGAGAGGCAGAGAGGCAGAGAGGCAGAGAGAACAGAGAGAACAGAGATCTCGGGGGAAACGTCCAGGAATAAATCTTCTCTCTGAGGCGGTCGGAGTTTCCCGTGAACACTTTAATCTTCTCTCTGAAACCGGGACAAAGCCTCAGAAACAACACAGATTACACAACGCTGAGCTCAAAGGTCCTCCAACAGTTCAGCATCAGCACATCTTTCCAAGAGCCCAGTGACCTCTGACCTCTGGAGGAAGCAGCTGACAGCTGGATAACGGGGAGCTAGCAGAGAGCTAACAGAGGCTAAGAGAGAGCTAACAGAGAGCTAACAGAGAGCTCACATTGAGCTAACAGAGAGCTAACATGGAGCTAACAGAGAGCTAATGTGGAGCTAATGGCACAACATTTAAAGAGTATAACGCCAGACAATAACGACACAATAGTCCTAGACCATGGAAATATTTTTGACTTCTTTACTCCTAATTCACATTTTGGTCAGAAAGACTCATTGCTTTCCTTCTAAAACATCCCAAAAAGTACCTGAACCTCAGGGTTTATGAATCAAAACTAAGGAGTTGACCATGTAAGACTTTTCCACCTTTCTTTGACCCAAACAAATATGGCGACTGAAGTAAACAGAGAGGTTCTAGGGCAAAATATCCCCTCATTTTCTCCTAAAAAGCACGCAAAAAAGGGTTTCCCAAACAGCGATAATTCAAGTGGAGGTGCAACTAAACTTTATATTCATTATCAATAAATATGCCAATAGGTATTTGGGTTAACTGGTTAATTTTCATCACACAAAAAAGACACAAAACTACTTCCGAGAGGCAAAAATAAACTATAAAAAGGACAGAAAACCATCACAAAAACACTACAAACAACAACAAAGAGACACAGAAATAGCACAAAGCTGTCAGACTATATAATGTTTACCTAAATATGAACCTGTCATCTCAGCTGAGACATTACACTAATGAGCTTATGTACAGCCTGTCATTAACATAATCCACTGTTATTCACACATATTCATTCATGTGTGAATCAAATGTAAAAACAAAACCCCACTTTATTAATGTCATTTTCCTGCTCAAACTAACCCTTCAGCTAAAATCACATAACACCGGAACCTTTTGTTTTAAAGGAGATAAAACGGCGGAGACCTTCCGGTAACCCAGGAGGAAACAATGCTGCTATCTCTGTCCTGCCTAGCAACCGGGCTCCATTCAGGCCAAACCAAACAAAACCACACAATGTACCAAACTCCACCCAAATATCTGAGTATTTAAGGAAAACATGGGTATAATTACAAATAAACGTTGATTTAAAACAGAAATAGTTCGCAATAAGCTGTTTGGGTTAGTTCTGATGAATTCGGCAAGTATTATATCGACTATTTAGCTCTGTATTTTGAATGAATTGCTTAATAATCTTAACATACAAGCACAAAATGTACCAAACTCCACCCAAATGACTGTGTATTTAACGGAAACGTGGGTATAATTGAAGATAAACGTTGATTTAAGACTAAACTAGTTCATAATAAACTGTTGTGTTTAATGCTGGTGAGTTCGGCATATATTCCATCCACTATTAAGCCCTGTATTTAGCATAAACAGACAACCTGTGCGGCGCGCTCAACCTCCATGTGTCTCACGAGCACACAGGTACCAAACTCCACTCAACTTACTATATATTTAACAAAAACGTGGGTATTTATCAAGATATGTGTTGATTTCAGACAAGTTAGTTCATAATAAGCTGTTTTGGTTACTTCTGATGAATTCGGCATATCATGTATCCACTATTAAACATGTATTTTGAATAAATTGCTTAATAAATGAACTGACAACCTGTGGGTCTATGCGGAACGTGCAGCTGCCCTTCAGGTTTGAACCAAACTCCAGTCACATTACTGTGTATTTAAGGAAAACTTGAGTATTTATCAAAAATATGTTGATTTCAGACTGGACTAGTGCATAATAAGCTCTTTCGGTTACTGCTGGTGAACTCGGCATATATTTAATTCACTATTAAGCCCTGTATTTATCATACATCGCTAAATAAACGTCCCACTCCCCGTTATCTCCTACTACTACGCAACGTTCATTTTCCTCTAAAGAGGCGAGGGAAAACAGCAGTAGTGGGAATACAAGTTCTATCAATATTAATATACTAACAGGTATGTGTGATGTGTGTACACCGAGTAAAAGATGTGATCCCGTAGGTTCCTGTACTCATGCTATTGAGTGTGTGTTGTAATGTAAACATCTACAGGATCATATAATGCATGTTTTTCCAATGAGGTCTGGTTTAAAGCACCGACGGGCCAGAGAGCAGAAGGCAGATCAAGTTGCCTCTTTTTTTTACATTTGCATTTTCTGTAAAATGCTGCAGCAATTAGACCAGATTATAATGAAATAATATATTTATTTAGAGAGACATTTCCCTGTAAAATGTGCACAGACAGAGATGTGTGTATGCAGGAGGGTTTTTAATGCAATCATTAAAGAGCAAGCTTACCTGCATCAAGTCATCCGTTAGAAAAACATGGCACATATAACCGGGGATTCCTCCGGGACCGGGCTCCTCTGGGGGGTCTGTATCCGAGAATAGGAGCTGTTTTTCGGCTGCAAGAGTGTGTGTTTTCCGCTCCTCTGTTCGGAGATGTGACTCCTTTAAAACTTGACTTTGAATTAAAAGCAGATTCAACCTGCAGAAAGGGGCGGGGCTAGCCCTGAGCTGTGACTGACAGGAGGGGGCGGGGCCTGAGCTGTGACTGACAGGAGGGGGCGGGGACTGCCCGCAGCGCTGACTGACAGGCAGGACTCAGTACTACACTACACATGTATAAATAATTGATTAATTATTCCAGGTGATGTGTTTGATGTCTTAAGATATATCAGTTCATAATCAATATTAGTTGTTGTCATACCATGGGTCTCCACTATCAGCTGCAACAAGAAAGGACATCAAATACCACAAACATAAAAATATGAATTCAAAGATTATTGTTATTTCTTTAAAAAAATCTATTGTTAATTTGTAACAGAGTTATAAAGGTTGGTGTAAAATCCTGGTTAAATGAGAGAATTGCGCCATCTGGTGTCACAAACGTGTGCCTGCATTACTGTAGCTTTGTTACGGCAATGGATTGTGGGAGATCCTCACAGCGCGTGAGGATCTCTTGAGGGTAAGGTGCCTGTATTATGTCGGTGGACAAAATGTGTGTTTTTATTTTATTAGGACAATAACGTTCTGTTGTGTTTGTTTAGTTTAATGTTAGTCGTTTAATGCTCACAGCAGTTTTTAGTGTGATTGGCTATTTGTTTTATATGATTTATCAATGTGATCATCAATAGCTAATCTGAGCTAATAAGCTAATGTGAGCGTGGTGCTAATTCTCCAACAGAACGCAGCTCACGTGTCCTTTGTATATGCTGTCCATTGAAATGCAGGTATGTGAGTTTAGTACACCAGTTTGTTTATGTTGAATGTTTCACATTGCTTATGAAAAATGTACTACCACTATACGATCACTGATGTTTTGTTGTTGACTGGACACTTACTTTGTAAAAGTCATAGCGTGTGAGGATCTCTTAAAGGTGGGGTAGGTAATTTTGGAGAAACCAGCTTGAGTGCGCTAGAATTTGAAAATACACAGCCGGAAAAAATCTGCCACTTCCTTACAGAGCCCCTCCTCCAACACACACGAACGCGCACATGACCAATGAGGGCACGAGATAAGTTTGTGCACAGATGGAAGGCTGACAGGCAGGTAGGCCATCCAGTTATTTTAGCCGGGCCGGCTCAGATGATTGGTCGTGCTTTTTACAGTACTACAGCTTCCACAGGTGATATTTATTATGGATTTGTTGTCAAAGCACTTCAGATATTCATTGCTATCGGGATGTTAAGAGCATTCCATGGGGATCACGTGATGCAGCGAAGCTAGGTAGACGCTAGCCCAGGGGCTCTCCATCCTAAGTAACTTTAAAACCTTTAAAAACACCCGAACACACTTTTAATTTGGTCGGACGAATGCAGCATGAACTTGAGATCAGGGAACAAACAATAGAGAAAATGACTCCCGAGACTTGTGAGCAAGAAGTTTGTGTAATGGCGGCGGCGGCACAGCAACACCTGAGCGGAGGAGACTCACTTATCCTTCAAGAGATAAGAAACGGCAATCAAGCCCTCTCCAGTAAACTTGGCTCCAAAACCGCAGAGATTTTTTTTTTTTTTCTATTGTCAGTGCTTTATCTGACTTGTTGCCACTTTACTGCAGGAGACACATTTACACTTGCATGGTGACTTCACAAAGAGGCCGTCATACCATGATCGAGAATGGGCTAAACGGACCGGTTAAAAGGAAAAGAGTCTTGACACACCGGAAAAACTGCAAATTGATATTGCTTTTATACAAGAAAGCCATCTTACCACACAGGAGCATAAGAAGCTGAGGAGAGAATGGGTAGGACATGCAGTTTCATCATCCTTTGATTCCAAAGCCAGGGGAGGAGCTATTTTAATAAATAAAAACACTCCAGTGACGATTGGAGAAACTATTATTGATCCATCTGGCCGATATGTAGATACTTGTCAGATTTATTCAGAACCCTGGACACTTTTAGTCTTATACGCACCCAACCATGATGATGCATCCTTCATTCAAGATATCTTTCTTAAGATGTCAGGGGGACCACAAAACATACTGGTAGTGGGTGATTTAAATGTTTGCCTGGATCCTATTCTGGATAAGTCATCCTTGGCAGTATCTAAATCAAAAGCTGCCAAAACCACCCTGGCATTTATGAAAGATGTACATTTGACAGATGTTTGGAGACCGATGCCCCCTCAAAGCAGAGACTACTCTTTCTATTCCTGTCCCCATAAGTCTCATACTAGGATTGACCCTTTTCTCTTATCAACGCAGCTAGTCCATAGAGCATTGGAATCTGAATATGTATCTAGGACCCTGTCTGATCATTCTCCTTTGACCCTGTCTATTTTGATGCCAGAAAAAACAACTAACTCATATAGATGGCGACTGAACCCTACCCTTCTTCAAAAACCAGATGTGTGCATGTTTATACCAGATAAAGCTATTCTGCGAGACTAACTGTCCTTCCTCCTCCAATAGTTGTATACTATGGGACACACTTAAAGCTTATTTAAGGGGACAAATAATCTCTTATACAAAAGGTATTAAAAAGAAATATATGGCAGAAATCAAAAAACTGGAAACAGATATTTTGAAATTGGAAAAGGAGTTTCAACAATCTGGGTCCAAGGTATTATACCAATCGCTGTTAAACATGAAGCTCAAATACAATACGCTACACACTTATAACATTGAAAAAGCCATTTAAAGAACTAAACAAAGGTATTATGAATTGGGAGAGAAGGCAACTGAGAACAGAGGAAAGCTCAAGAACAATTAACGCAATTCAAACTGAAGCGGGTTCAGTGTCACATAACCCGGGAGAAATCAATGACACATTTAATCAGTTTTATGCAAATGTATATACATCGGAATCACCAGAAGATGTGACTGAAATGGATGAATTCCTGTCCACTATTGACTTGCCAAAGCTTGGCCAGGAAGACCAAAATAAACTTGATCTTCCCACTCAGAAAGAAATTGAAAAGGCTTTGGGCTCATTGCAATCTAATAAATCGCCGGGGGAAGATGGTTTCCCACCAGAATCTTACAGAGAATTTAAGGATTTACTCATCCCACTCATCATGGATGTAATTAACTTAGCATCAAAAACTCAAACTCTGCCTGAATCATTCTCTACTGCCATAATCACTGTGATCCACAAACAAAATAAAGATCCATTAAAGTGCTCTTCATTTCAACCGATTTCATTATTGAATTCGGACTATACATTAATATCCAAGGCCCTGGCTAACAGGCTAGGCCAATGTTTGCCACAATTAATTCATCCGGACCAGAGTGGTTTTATTTCTAAACGTTCATCAGCTGATAACTTATGTAGGCTCTTTAACAAAGTCAAAGACTGAGCCCAGTGTAGCTTTAGACGCTGAAAAGGCCTTCGACCGGCTGGAGTGGCCATATGTATTTAAAGTCTTGGCCAAGTTTGGGTTTGGTCAGTTTATGAATTGGGTTCAAACTCTTTATCATGAACCCCGGCCCAAAATGACTACTAATGGTCAGATCTCTACTGCGTTTCCCCTGAGTAGATCAAGCCTCCAGGGCTGCCCTCTGTCTCCAGGGCTGCCCTCTGTCTCCAGGGCCGCCCTCTGTCTCCAGGGCTGCCCTCTGTCTCCAGGGCCGCCCTCTGTCTCCAGGGCTGCCCTCTGTCTCCAGGGCCGCCCTCTGTCTCCAGGGCCGCCCTCTGTCTCCAGGGCTGCCCTCTGTCTCCAGGGCCGCCCTCTGTCTCCAGGGCTGCCCTCTGTCTCCAGGGCCGCCCTCTGTCTCCAGGGCCGCCCTCTGTCTCCAGGGCTGCCCTCTGTCTCCAGGGCCGCCCTCTGTCTCCAGGGCCGCATTCTGTCTCCAGCGCCGCCCTCTGTCTCCAGCGCCGCCCTCTGTCTCCAGGGCCGCCCTCTGTCTCCAGGGCCGCCCTCTGTCTCCAGGGCCGCCCTCTGTCTCCAGCGCCGCCCTCTGTCTCCAGCGCCGCCCTCTGTCTCCAGGGCCGCCCTCTGTCTCCAGGGCCGCCCTCTGTCTCCAGGGCCGCCCTCTGTCTCCAGGGCCGCCCTCTGTCTCCAGGGCCGCCCTCTGTCTCCAGCGCCGCCCTCTGTCTCCAGGGCCGCCCTCTGTCTCCAGCGCCGCCCTCTGTCTCCAGGGCCGCCCTCTGTCTCCAGGGCCGCCCTCTGTCTCCAGGGCCGCCCTCTGTCTCCAGGGCCGCCCTCTGTCTCCAGGGCTTTTTGTCTTGGCTATTGAGCCCCTAGCTGAAGCAATTAGACAGGATCCTGATATAAAGGGTTTTAGAGTAGATCAGACAAATCATGAAATGAATCTCCTGGCAGATGATGTGCTTCTGTACTTGACAGACCCTGGTAACTCCCTCACCAAATTACAGACTCTGCTAAATGCTTATGGTGTTATCTCAGGATATAAAGTAAACCAAGAGAAAAGTGAAATCAATCCACTAACTAACTTTGATTACACTGAGTATCAACGTGCAAGCCCATTTTAGTGGGTTAACAATATAAAATATCTTGGGATAACTATAGATAATAACCTTAAATATATACGAACTTAACTACCTCCCATTGCTCAGTAGAATTGAAAGTGATCTACAAAGGTGGATGAGTTTACCCATTACTCTAATTGTGAGTTAACTGTGAAAATGAATATACTACCAAGGCTACAGTATCTTTTCCGGTCCTTGCCCATTCAACTGCCTCAAACCTTTTTTAAAACAATAAACATGTTAGACAGTTTATATGGAACTGTAAGGTGGCCAGGGAATCTATGGAGAAATTAACGTGGGATTACAGATCAGGGGGCCTTCGATTACCATGTTTTAAAAAGTATTATTTGGCGGCTCAAATGCGATTTGTTTCAGCCTTTTTTGAGGGCGACGGTGCCCCATCCTGGAAACAAATTGGATTGCACCCCCTGAAAGAAAAAGTGTTGAGCAATTTTATTTATAAATGGAACCCCAGGATTATATCCAAGAAGACAGACAACCCTATTTTAAGGCATTTGATTAAAATGTAGGGATGGGTATCGTTAAGGTTTTAACGGTACTAC